GCTGTTTGCCGCCAGCTTATTCAAATGGGGTTTCATTGCGTACTACTGTACTGTAATGAGTTTTACCGGACACCAATCAGCTGATTATACTGTATTTAGGTGGCAATGAGTGGTTATAAACAAAAACATAACCTCTCATGACTAGTGATTTTTAGTCCTTTAGTTGGTGGAAATATATAAGGATTTGTACAGATTTAGTAGTATGGCGTAAACTATCGTACGTAACTCGTCCAAAATGTGTGTACCGGACTCGTATAGTAATCCACTCGTCCGGTAAACACTTATTTTCAGGACTAGTAACGTAATATACTATTACATCCTTAGGGCCGAAAATCAACTGCCCGCTTACTTTCTTAAAACATTAATGCATATTAAATACATACACAGGATTCATAGCATTGCAATATAATTTATTTATTGTCACCGCTGCCTAGCACCTATTTATTATTATTTTTGCTGATTCCTCAAATTATTTCTTCACATAACCTTTAAGTTGTGGTTATGTTGACTATCAGTGTGCATTATTATAGTGGTGAATAGTGGTAATAGAGTATAGTGTGGTAAAAAATAGCGTTTGGACCACGAAACGAAATGGTTTTCCAGCTCTCGATCTTGAGCCGGCAAAACCTTATTTTCGACCCTAGGTACGAAATGTACTATTACCTTTCAATGCATGATACCAAATAGTTTGAACAGTTTTCTCAGCGAGCAATAAGCAACATAAAACACAATTTGAACAAATAAAACAAAAAATGTAATTACCCAAAGATAAATTGCAAATGAAGTAAGTCTTCATGGAAACAGATATTTACATACGGGTTTATAATGAAGGTTAGGCAGTAACTTATGTTGTTTCGAACACAAGTTTGGAAAGTTCATCTTCATACCAACTTCAACAAGGTTTCAAGTGGGAGTGGACTACATTAGCACTAATAAACCCCTAGTAATATTGAAATATTCGTTGTACTATTTTAATTTGTCGTCTTATTTTCAATTTTTTAGCCAATGCAAAATACTATTTTACCTTTGTATTAATACACTAATGTATATCGTTAAACAAGCTATTATTAAGTTAGTCAAATGTTCACAAATAAATCTATCTTTACACGAATTACTTCAACAGAGATAAGTATTGCTGAACGCGGTCTTCTTCTTTTGGGTAAGAACATGGAAATTTGTGATATTTATAGAACCATTGACCATTGAGGTCAGTTAAATGTGTTGAATAAAATTATCACGTATACAGAAAGTATATGTAGTAGTATAGGCCAATAGAAACTCTATTTATATGGGCCATCACCAGCCAATAATAAAATATATAACAGTCAAAGGGCCTTTTACAGTGTTAGCTACTTTGAAGCTTGATTTTTTATCTTTTTGAAGCATTCATAGTAGGTATGATTTACCAGATTGTCGCTATATAACTTTTCCTTTTGGTTCAAATCTTAATGTACACAACAAAACTCACAGATTAACAACACCACACTTGTCCTGGAGGACCAGTTAAACCACTTTTATTTGTTTTCTAAGAATGGTGATAACTACATTGAAATGAAATATTTAGTTCTATCCTAGTCAAAGGCTGTATACAACTTTACCAACATGAACCTTAAATAACCAACATTTTTACCATTTGATCCAATAAAAATATAGTCTTATTTTCCTGTTATTGCGTAATGTTCCATAAATCACAGCAAGGGCAGTAACAGTAGGGCTCGAAGCATGTTATGCAATACGTTCGGGAATTTAGTTCGTTATGCTTTGGAACATAGCAGCTCTCTGTCAGATTCTCGACATTCGAACCCCTTATACGTTACGTGCTTCGGATTCGTATAGGAATGATTTCTTTTTACGAGACCATGTTCGAAATATTGTCATTATTGGATTTTAAATGCAAGTAAATATGACAATTATTTTTAGATGGATAACATAAACTTAAATTTATTATTAATATATGAAATAGGTTTGGTCTTTTTAATGTCCTACGTTATACACTCTTGGACGCTAGTCTCTATCTCGTAACCGTTTCACACATTACGTACTTATAATGAACTATTTTTTGAAGATACGTTTAATATTTTCTTTCTACCGCTGTTTTTCGATGGTCTTGGTCTTAGTGAGTAACGCAATCTTGATCAATGATGAACTTAAATCATTTTACTCAATTTCAAGCTTACTCTGCGTTCATATTGAGATCTAAATACTAATTTTAGTTCTGTCACTCTCTTAGGAAATTGATCAACCCAATGACTTGATATTTTAGTTTACTTAGAACCAAGCAAAAAACAATAAACACTTACCTACAATTTTATCTTCATTACATAAATACAACAATATTATAAAAAAAAACTTTACATAAATATTCGTGGATATATATAAAACAACATTCGGGTATGGAAAAATTCGCAATAAGTCAAGTGTGTTACGAGGGAACTTATTTCGTTCCATTGGCTATGATGCATATATGATTTATTTCCAATATCACAGTGGGGTCTGTTCAGATAGGGGGAAGATGGAAGGAACCCTTCCAACGTACTGAAACACACTTATAGTAAGCCACTTGAAGACAGTTTATTCTCCTAACAGGCAAACATAAAAATAACAACGCCTAAATGTTTTGTTTAAATAAATAACATGGACATTTGAGAAATCATATTATCTTCCTTTGCAGAATTATGTATAAGAGCATTATTATAAGCAAAATTTGTAATTTGCGAATTAGAATACACCACACAAACAGATTTAGGTTGTTTCAAGTCCTTAAGGTACTAATGCTGAGTTCGTTTTTTGTAGATAATTCTTAATTGTTCCGGATGAAATTCATAAGTAAATTATAGTTGAATAATATTAAATTGCATTCCTAATAGATACATTTCTTTAATAATAATACAGGAATGTTTGTTATATAAGTTGGAGTGTATTAGGTAATCGGATAAGTTTAACTTTGATCTAATGGTGGCACTTTAGTAATATAGTAGCTATACAAACTCTATAAAATTTGCATTTATCCGAATTTTTTCCGTATCGATAGACATTTAATTGTTAAAATGGTATCGCCAATTTTAAATGTAATCACACATTGTGTTTTGTGGTAAATATATTTTTCAGCCAGAAATATATATATTATTTGTTTGTATACATTAGTATAAAAGGATTATAAGAACCGTCATAAGATTTTTATAAAAGAGTTAGTTTAATAGAGACCGACGTGAGGCAAAACCAGGTCACGTCTCTAAATTATTTAGATATGCCACTGTAGTCCTTTTGACTAACACTGTTCGTGTTACTGTGAATCATGCAATAAAATACGTTGGGTGTGATGAAAGTAGCAATAATAATTGTTCAGGGGTTTATTATTTTCCGATTATATCAAATAATTAAATGTTGTACAGCAGTTGATATGAAAGAAAAATGAAAAATAAAAGAACGTTATGTATTTTTAGATCGCCATTTTTTTTACGCAGTACTAAAATTTTAACTAATATATAGACTACAAAAATAAATTTTCGTGGTTCTGTTTAAGTTATCTTCATTACTATTAAGAGGTACTACACTAGCACACCTCTAATGTTTTAGGTTTGAACATCACTTGCTATATAAAAAGACAAAAAGCTATTTCCAACTAAATATTTTCAATAAAAGCTTTTGACGGATTGCTCAATTTCCCACCATAGTAATTGGAAAATGGTAAAACGATTTCTCGAAATTACCTAAAATATGTTAGACACAGCTGTAAGCTTTTAAATTTCAAAAGGTATTAACACCTTTTATTTACTAAACAAACTAACAACGTATTTTTTTTTACATTTCCTTTAATGCCAGCCTTTTACATACGATTCCTTTCCTTATGTCTTTATTAGTTTATTGTCCCTAAACACAAAACAAATAGATAATGCCCATTTTATATATTAATGAATCTATCTATGTTGGTGGATAACTAGAAATAAATGGCATCCCAATCCGGGAGATAATATTTACATTTTCCACCTACACTACCTTCGCTGAGGCTATACCTTTGAGTTAAACAACCAAATGCCCAATATGTCAAAGTTAACGACCATTTATTTTAAAATACTATACACTGTATATAAAAAAATTTATTGGTAGTGTACATTGTACTAATTATACCTTATGAGAAAATAAATACTGATAGTCTAATATAAAGTAGTAAGGAAAGTACAGTTAAGTAGAATGTGAATTCGTTTAATCTTTAACAGCATAAAGCAGCATCATTTTGACATGAAGAATAGCCAAACTTAATAATATAATTCAGCTACTTAACTCAATACTAATTCAATCATATTCAAAAAATAGTACTTTAGAACTACTTTAAACTAAACACAGTTCGCAATTTTATCATGTTGATGTAACCATTTCTTGATAAAGAAATCCATCTTCTCGTCTCTGTGCGCAAGCAATGAAATGCGTAGTTTAGATAAAAGACATATTTACTTGTTGAAATGAAAAGTATCTTCAAACTGACACATACTTTCTCCAATCAGCTTGCCACGGAATTGCCTTGGGTAAAATGAGGTGGTAACTATATGTTATTTATGGTAAAACCATAACATTTGCAACAACTTTTGAGCCGCTATTTCTAGAGCGTTGCAGTCTTGCCACTATCCTTAGAGCCTTTTTGTGAAACAAAATATTTGTCATTATATATGGATATTATATGGATTTTTTTATAGAACAGTTACCATCAAAGATCAAAATAAAAACGCATGGTGATACCATGTACCAGATACGCTCCCCGCATACTAAATTTCATAAAAATCTGACCACTTATGTAGCCTATAGAATTTGTTACAAATCTACACACACAGAGACACACACCCATACAAAGTACTTTTTTTAGTTTAGGGGGACCTAAAACGGATATTTCCACAGAAAACCTATAATTCGAGAACGTTGAAAAATCTCTTACTTTCTCAATAGAAGGGAAGCATAAAATTATACACACATTCTCGTATTAATTTGAATGATATCTTCTGTTTCAGACGAGTCCCTGTTCGAAGAGTACCCTACGGACAACGAGTTGGACAGATTACTGCAGACTGCCCAGAAGTGAGTGGCAACTGTGTGTGCTTCGCCTCGTGCTGTGTGGTATTTAAGTAACGAGGTGTGATAAGACCGTGGTTAAAAAATGCTCTGGTCGATTTTCAATTTTTGTGATTAAACATAGAAAAGGGTTAAATTTTTACAGGGTTTTTTGCCGGGGGTTCTCTTAAAAAGCTTAAAATGCATACCATTAGCTGCTTTACATGTGTAATATCTTATATCTTACTAGAATATCTATACTCAAAAAAGAAATAAAAATTTACATAAGCAATGACGAAGCTTTCAATTAGGTAACTGTACAATCTTAAGAAGTACTGAGAATTATAGAGGAAACCTAATAAACTAATATAAATTCAAAAAAATACATGGAATTTCCATTAGTGTTACTAACTCATAAGACTGAAAGAACAGTTTGCAAGTATTCTGTACTATGACATGCTCAATTTATATCATGTGGATTGCAATATTATCGATAAGAACACATTATTTAAATAAATAAATGAAAGTATTTAAAAATTGAAAGTGGCTTACCACTGAAAAAATTATACATCCTAGGCATTACGAATAAGTAATTGAGTATTAATAATCTTTTTTAAGGTAATGTTTATTATTATGTTACTGATCACCTCCAATAAATATAGCGTGTTTTGTTTAGTTGAACAATTTTAAATATTTAAATAACGCCAATTAACTTGGTTTAAATTAATGTGTGATTTAACTAAACATGTAAAAAGGTCAAAATATGATTGATGTAAAAACTACAAAACCCAAATTATTTGGAAAAAATTAATAGTTTTTTCCTGATATGCAGTTATAGACTAAACATGTGTTAATATCCTCATTAGTTTATACTTCACCTTTTATGGTATTTAACTAAATCTTTATCGAATGGAAGATATTAAAACATTTGAAACGAGACAGTAACATAATAAGTGTTAAGATGAGATAAATTAAAACTTAGAAAAATGATTGTTTATACATCTTCGGAAAACAATCTTGTATAAAAGGAGAAAATAAAATTAAATCCTTAAAACACTTAAGCCGGGTTTTCCTTGGTGCGGAAGCGGAGAGCGGAGAGAGGAACGTGGAGAGTGGACTCCACTTGTCTTAGGTAATTTAATGTTCCTGTTTTCCTAGAAGCGGAGCGGAGTGCCATGTTAATTTCTTTTCCGCTCTCCGCGTTCCTCTCTCCGCTCTCCGCTTCCGCACCTAGGAAAACCAGCTTTAAGGTGTATTGTGAAGGGTTTGTTGATGAGATGGTTGTTCCAGCCGGCACTCAACAGGCACTGCAGGCTTGGCTGACAAGTGACAGTGCAGTGGAAGGACGCTGAGGGCAGGGAACCCCAGGTCCCGCCCTACAAGGTCCTTCATTGACTTACTAGATGTTTGGTGTCTTGATGTCGTCTCCATGTTGTCTGGGATTGAGTATCATGTCCACATTGGGGCAACGAGATGTTGGTGGCTACCGTTGAGGTCTTTTATGATAGACATGTTTTAGCAGGATCATTTGTTTGTGTTGTAAATAACAATGAATGGTAAACAATGACGCAGGTTGAAGTAGATGGTCATTTACTTTAAGGCCAGTCACTATTTTTTAAGCCGCAATTTTTGTACTTGCAAACAAGGAAGATAATGTTTAACAAAGTACAGCAATATGAACTAAAATAGGTGAATGTTTACAACTTTAGTACTAGTAAACGAACATCCAAAATGGCGCACCCCTTATCACACCTCTTAACATTAGGACTTAGGCGTTTTCTGGAAGGTTTTTAATGATTTTTGCAGGCGTTCTTCTTTGATCTACATTTACAGAAGAGCGTGTGTAAGACGTGGCGGCAACTGTGACCACCGCCCTAAAGATTGCTGCGTCAACAGCACATGTCGATGCAATCTGTGGGGAGCGAACTGCCGGTGTCAGCGCAAAGGGCTGTTCCAAAAGTGGGGCAAGTAGACAGCTGATCCCTTCAGTCCCCGCCACCAACACTTTGTTACATATGTTATCTGAGTTGTAACCGTGTAAGTTGTAACCTTACGTTCCTAAATGTTGAATAAAGACCCCCTTGTATAATTGATGCAGAGTAACTTTTCTTGGTCATTATTTCGTTTAATAAGTTTTTAAATATTAAAATTTTGACACCTATTTTAAAGTCTTTAACTAAGGGACGTTCTATTATTTACCTAGTATTATAGTCAAGACGTTTTTCAGTTACTATTGGTGATCTTAAAATATTGTAAAAAATTAACTTAAGGATATTTATTTTAAAATTACCACACTTATAACCATATCACCAAATTGAGGTTCTATGTTGTTAATATACCATTGCTATTGAGAAATATATTTTTTAGAAACAGCTGAATATTATAATATTGATCATCAGTATCATATATATTAAAGTCTATTTACAAATTTTGCATGACCCATATTACCAGCTTTATGAAATTATTGTTCTTTAATTTTGCATTTAGGATTCCCGATAAATTCGTGGATAACTGTCTAACATCGCAATACGGGTGCTCCCAAAATGCTTTCCCAGCAGTCCACATGGTCACTGTTAGATTTCATCAATGTTAAATGTTATCTTATAGCTTTGGACTGCTGAATCGTAAGCAAGGGATGTATAAATATATGTCAATAAGCATACATCATCACCCTATTAAGCACACGTGAAAAATGTATTTTTAATATTGTAAAAGGAAAGCAAGTCAACATTGGTGATGGATAATGTTAACATGACTGCTGAAATAAAATGTGTGAAAAGTTAAAATTATTAGACAAAAATGTTCGTTTAACCTGATTCGTAATTTCTAAGTCAAAGACTATTTCTACTGTTGTAAATACTTTAATTTCAAGTAAGTGAAAGAAAAATCAGTTTTTCATATACACCCATTATATTCGTATGATATCATGGATATGTATAGCTTATTTTACACTTTAGACAACATTTACACAACTAATGTTGCTATGAGTGTTCCGTTTGGTTAAAATGCACGCCGGTAATGCTATTATAGTGGTTATTTAAGTGAAGGTTTATTTTTAAATTGATTAAAAACATTAGAGTTACAAAAATCTATGTGTAAGCTTTATATATATTTTCAAGAGTATTTTGAGCATTTAATCAGATGATAGTATATATATTTATGTATGTAATCATAAACTTTATTGCATTTTTGTGAAGCAGACAATATTTGAAGACTTCTACAATATATTTTGTTACAATGCGAAGTTGAAATGTATCATAGATTATATTTTATTAGCACTTTTATTGGAAATTTTAACGTTGCGAGAACCACATTTTCATATCATTCTTCGTGCAGCTAATGAAATTGTGTTAAGTTGGAAAACATATATTGGTAAATAATAAAACTGATGTCGTACCTATTGAATTTTCTGTTAACCCTAAAAACAATTAGTGGAAGTATATAATATTTTAAATACAAACAATTGATTAAGAGGATTTTTTAAGTTTCAAAAAGGAAATGATAACAACCTTATCTGCATATATCGAGCAAAAGATTAGTATTTTGTAAAATAATCAAGATGTAAATTTGATGAGGGTCAACCGTAAGAGTGGCCTAAGAGAAACTAATAAATTGTAATGTAAGCAGATGTTTTGTTTCTTTTTCCTGGTTCCAGTGGTAATTATAAATTTAGTAAGTTTAAGAATCGGAGTGGAAGATAAAGAGAATAACAAACCATACTAACTCTTATTATCAACTAAGTGAATAATCTGAAGTATTCATTTATCCATGTTTGCCTCCTGGATAAAATACAGACAGAAAATTTGACAATGGGGCTGTTGGCCCCGAAACTATAGTCATTATAAAAGACGACTTGGATTGAGGACGTAAACAAGGTATTTAACCTATTATTATTCATTTATATTGCATATCCAGTAATGTTTGAATGCGTTAATATCTTCCTATTTTCACAGGTTATTTTAGAAAGGTTAAAAGTTTTCCTATGAAATTTAAAATCTTGTTTCAGCACGCACTGGTGCCAAAACCAAATATAACAGTTTGCATTGTAATATTAACTGCAATGTATATTAATGGAGGCAATATAAGCATAATCAAGAGTTTCCCTACAGTTACCTAACAATGTACATGCTCTCTCACTGATTTGACAAAGCAAAGTGGCCAATTTGCTCATCAGTGAGACATTGTAAACATTGTCTCACTCTAATTACTTTGTCTCACTCCAGATTTGCAACGTGAAGGCACGAAATAGTGAGCGCGTAACATGCAGGCAACGTCGTATGCGCGCGAAATACGTTGGCAGCACTGGCTGTAAATCAGCTGGTCAGCTGTTGTACACTTGTATTTGTCACTTCACATGAAATTTTATGTTAAAAGTTCACTTCTGTGTAAAAATAGGTTATGTTTCTTCACCAATTTATTTGTTTTATGGTAATTGTACGAAAAGTATAATGTGCAACTCGAGTTCAAAGTACAATTGCGTCACTCGAGCAATTGCTCACTTTTCTCACTAGTTGCACAAATAACTATTTTGTACGTTAAACACAAACCACTCTTTCTTGTTTTTGACAGGAAGTCTATTTGCTGTATGCACAGACAATGGTAACACATTACTCGTACTTTCAAACAAGTAAAAACATTTGGACCTTCCCCCTTGGGTGGCCATTTTGTAACCAAATTTCCTAAGCATTTTACGTGTCCATTTTCTTGTTCATCTAGGCAGACAAACGAACCCTACTATATGAAATACAAATGCATAAAAGGTGACTACCATATTCCCAGATATTGAGGTTGTGGTTTATATTTAGCCAAACATGCAATAAGTTGCTGTATTATATAGTGACATTGGATATTACATTTATGGAGCTAACATGCAAGCAGATAACTGCGAGATAACAGATAATATGTTTATATTGCTTTTGCTCTTATAGATACTTCATGTTCAACCAATAGGCCAGGCCTATATAATATAATAGAACTCTACATTGGCGTTTTACATGTTGATTATATTATAAGCCTATAATAACAAAGTAATTATTATTAATTAGAACATTTAATATACAGTAAATTCTACAATGAGTGTGGGAAAGAATAAGTTGCGTTTTGAATACGTACAGCAATTAACTCCCATCTCCGTAATTTCGTCCAGTACTTTGTAATTAAGCAAGTCAGTTTTAAACATATATCATATGTTCCGCATTTGTAAAAAAAATTGCATAGATCATATAAACATACCAATATCATATGAAATTAACAGACGGCCAGCTGTATTTATAATATAACTCTCAATAGATTATAGACCTGCAAATATCTCTGTAAAATGAAGTTAGTTTTACTGTCTCAAAAAACATAATATATGATGTAAAAAACTATATCAATTAATTATTGTAAGACAATATCATAATGACAAAACGTTTCTGATTGAAGTCAACGTGTAGTGAAATTGACTTTTAATAAAATGAACTGGAACCGGAAGCTAATCTTTGAATCTATGACGTCACATATGACGTGAGTAAAAACAGCCTTTCTATAATGTTTAAAGGCAGTGCTACTATTCATGTGATATTAATTATTTATATATCAACCATCAATGGCATTTATAATATCAACACACACGTATTACACTTCAAAGTTTTAAATATTGAAACAAAAATCATGTTTAAAATCAAATTTTGATCCGTCCAATGCTTTAATAAACAAGAATGAAGTAACGCTAGTAAAGTTAACAAAATGTATTATGTGAAAAGAATGTCTAAAAATATAAGAATGAACCTTAAATCAAAAATGATGTATGCTGTATAATGGTCATTTTGGGAAGAGAACACGTGAAGCTACAAATAATTACGGTAGGCATTGTCTACTACAGTGGTCCAAAGATAGTTAACACAGTGGTGTTGTCTTTATCGACAATGTACAGTGGTAAATCAAAGTCAATGTTCAACTACTGAGAATCTTTAATAAAATATTTAGTAATTACAAGATTCAAGAGCGATTAAGCCAAACTTTCTTACCACGCCCAGTTTATAGTCACCATTAGTGGGATCATGACGTTAATAAAGGAAACACTTGTCTGATAGTTCTGTAACGACCAGGACAGCAATAAAATCATTGATTGAATTGATTCATAAGCTGTATTAAGACGATTTAGACATTGAAGAAATTACAAACGTTTTAATTTTACACTTCATTTTTTAACGTTTCATTATAGCTTATTCTGATTTTTCGTACAACCCTGTATAAATATATACACATTTTTATTTTACCAGGGTTCCAGATTTTTTATCCCTTTATTTATCGTTGTGTTTCAAATATGTAAGCAGCATTTAATGTTTTTCTGAAGAATTAACTTAAAGGTTGTTTCAGTAATACCTAGATGTATTTAAATACTCCTATCAATTTCGAGATTTAGAAAGTAAAAGTTGCTGTTTTAAAATGTAATGAATTCAAATTCCACTTGTTATTCTGATCAATAAACAATCGTAAAATTCTAAAGACATAAAACTATAAAAATTAATACCATAACCTCAACCTGGAAGAAACAGGTAATAGCCTACTTAACCGCTTTTACACTCAAATAATTTTGAAGATAAATATATCCATGTGTTTTTAGTAGAACAATGGCATAACTTACAGTATTGCAAATGTTCGTAGTAAACTTTTCACTAAATTAACAGTATGTACTACTCCACAACAAGAAAAAAATTAGAGTCTCTAAGATCCCCACCACGGTGAAATTCCGCTTAAATTATATTTATTAAAGTACTATTTTTAACCACACAAACCATATGTATCCAAAACTGATTGTAATATTTACTGAACTGGGTTTTAAAAGTTAATAACAAGTTTACCACCTCCTTCCTCGACTACAAAATACATTTTTAGCATATTGTAGTGATATTTAACACCTCCTTCCTCGACAAAAAAATATCTTTGTAGCATATTGTAGTCAATTCAACATTTCCTTCCTCGACTACAAAATATATTTGAAGCATATTGTAGTCAAGTTCAACACCTCCTTCCTCGACTACAAAATATATTATTAGCATATTGTAGTCAAGTTCAACACCTTCCTCGACTACAAAATATATTTTTAGCATATTGTAGTCAAGTTCAACACCTCCTTCCTCGACTAAAAAATATATTTGTAGCATATTGTAGTCAAGTTCAATACGTCCTTCCTCGACTACAAAATATATTTGTAGCATATTGTATTCAAGATCAACACCTCCTTCCTCGACTACAAAATATATTTGTAGGATATTGTAGTCAAGTTCAATACCTCCTTCCTCGACTACAAAATATATTTGTAGCATATTGTATTCAAGTTCAACACCTCCTTCCTCGACTACAAAATATATTTGTAGGATATTGTAGTCAAGTTCAATACCTCCTTCCTCGACTACAAAATATATTTGTAGCATATTGTAGTCAAGTTCAACACCTCCTTCCTCGACTACAAAATTTATTTGAAGCATATTGTAGTCAAGTTCAACAACTCCATCCTTGACTACAAAATATATTTGTGGGATATTGTAGTCAAGTTCAACACCTCCTTCCTCGACTACAAAATATATTTGTAGCATATTGTATTCAAGTTCAACACCTCCTTCCTTGACTACAAAATATATTTGTAGGATATTGTAGTCAAGTTCAACACCTCCATCCTCGATGATGCTAAATATATATATAGCTAATGCATTGTAGTATCATTAGCTGCACTATGCGAAGGTTGACATCCAAGGATAGTGGTTGCGTGTCGACCAATGAGGTGTCATCCTTGACAACACATCTTTGACCTTCACATGTGACACATGCCACTGCGAACGCATTGTTCATTTAAGCTTTTGCAACAGTCCCCAACGTATTTCTATCACAGGCTGTAAATTACATATTTACAGTCCTACCACAAAGATATACTTTCACGTTTATTGTTTGTAATAAAAATGGTAAATATAATTTGTATTTTATTTTTTATTTTAAAAGATAAAGTCTTAAAATATTTAACATATTTTACTTATAGAGTAACAATGATAATAATAAGTCATGTAATCTAATAATATGAGATGTATATACTGATAAAGTCAACAACAACATTAAAAAGAATATTAATAATTACAACAAAACATCTGTAATAAAAACGACTATACCTGATAAGAAACAATGAACTCTAAATATGTATTTTCCCAGATATTAGTCTATAATTTATAATGAAGATAGGTTGAAATTGAGAACAGTTTTTATGTAAAAATGGCTACCGTGTGGGGAATAGAGGACTGTCCTTGTATAACTTATACATACATTCTTAACCTTGTGGATGTTTGAATAAAAATATATGCATAACAAAGTACGTATAATAATAAGAAATAATCTTTTTTACAAAAAAGTGAAATTTTGTTAAGTCCTACAAAACAGTTTCGGGTTGATAATATGTTTTTCTACAAATTATAGAAGACAAATCTTATTAATTCGAGTGTTGTAAGTGTTTAAGAAACTTTTTAACGTGTTCAAAGTAAAACACGGAACAAATATTTCGTACATCCTTAACAATGGTTGATAAAACCACGAGGAAAGTCAAAAGTGAGCTTGCACCGTTAAGGAGGTCCTCATTAGTCCAGTGTTCCCGC